ACTTGTGTGCAACTTTTGCATGATTCAGTGAAAGAAATAATCAAGCTAAACAACAGGGAAGCAGCTTTCATAAGTTATGGAGAGTTGTACAATTTGTGCCAACATGTTCAATATGATTTATAACATTATAAGTAACATTGTTACATGTTGATAAAATATAAGTGATCCTTTAAAGTCTGATATGGAGTTATACTTATTCTATATAATGCAGAAAAATAAAATTCCTATACTGTTTTTTTCTGCATAGATGCATCGTTGGTGATATATCAAGAAATTGATGACATATGTATAGATTTAATATAAATGTAATATAATATATAATATAGATTTAATATAAAGTTAACATATTCAAATTTTGCCTAAACATGTACAGGTACTCCAAGTACTCCAATTTTGGCAAATAAAAAACCTGTCAGCTAATGGTGTGTGGCTGTGTGCATATGCTCTTGCAGAGAGGTTGTGACCTTCCTATAGACATACTTTGCAAAAATATGTTGTGACATAGGGCACTGTCGCTGCCATTTTGCTTACTTGGTCTGATTATGGGCTATTGTAGGCTCTGAGCAATCCTATATAACACGCATAACTTGTGTGCAGCTTTTGCATTATTCAGTGAAAGAAATAACCAAGCCAAACAACAGTGAAGAAGCTACGTTATAGAGAGTTGAACAATTTTACAGGTGTGAACATGTTGAATTTAAAATATAACTTTATAACTGAGATTATTACATTGTTAATACAGTATGAGTAATCCTTTTAAGTATATTGTAGTGTTATACTATATCATTCTGGTAAATAAAATTATTATTACTTATTACAAATTTTTTTCTGTGTAGAAGTATTGTAGGTGTAAGTACATCAAGAAGTTACAGAAATATGTTTTTGCTTGAAGACGTTTCAACTCTCATCCGAGAAGCTTCTTCAGTTCTAAGGTCAAATCGTGGAGAGTCACAGACTTAAGCCCAATGGGAGATTCCCCCAGGGGGACATTGACCCCTAATGATCTAATCACACGAGCCAAGATGTAAAAAACGGGTGTTGGTCACAATCAGCCAAGGTTTCGGGTGAACTCATTGTGAAAACTAGCCCCACATTATCATGTGATTTCCTGAGGTCAACAGGCCCAGGATGTGAGTGGGCGTTAAGGCGTCTGGGAAAGGATCTCAAAACTGGATTATAGATGGCAGACAGTTGGTGTCATAAACCACCGCCTCTGTTCAAAGATGATCGTTCACAGTGGACATGGCTTCTTTCAGTCCTCTTTCAAACCATCTGTCTTCTTGACCTCACTAAATCACATCACAGGTTGGGGCTGGGTTTCACAGTGAATTCACCTGAAACCTTGGCTGATTGTGACCTACACACCTTGGCTCGTGTGATTAGATAGAGGATCATTAAGGGGTCCATGCCCCCCTGGAGGGACACTTCCATAGGCAAAACATAGGACCAGAATTGGTTATAAATGATTGCTTTGATTTCTGTCATTCTTAGTTATTCTTGATCTTTGTATTTCTTTGTTTTTCCCTATTTTGTGGTTTCTGTGTCTACCTGCCTGGTTCTCTGTTTTTTATTATTCCAAATTCATGCATGTGTCATGTGTCTTTCTCTTTTATCCAGGTAGCCTTGGGTTTTTGAATACTCTTCTCTCTCTTAAATGAAAGCCCTACAATTGCTGACATGTTTGCAAGTGTAGCTCTTAGCAGAGGCATTACTGCCCACCGCATAAGTAAGAATGCCACGTTCTTCATGAATGAAGCAACATTTGCAGTCCCTGGATGCCAGAACCGGACCTCAGAACGGCACAAACCTCTATTGCTGATGTTACCGTGGTTGGGTTCACGTCCTCAAGCGCTGGTTAAGTACTGTGACATCTACTTCAACACAGGATTTGACGTGCTAGTATTTGAGAGCGAGGTAAGAATTCAGGGACTGAGAAATTGGAGCATATGTTAAACTTAATCGGTTTCTCACACTAACTGTATAGCTGCTCTTCTGAGTCTGCTAAAACAGTATGACCGTGTGTTTTATTCTTGTATTTATCGCTAAAATGCATCACAGGGCAGTTAATGAATAATAGTCTTTCTAGAAGTATGTGCTCTGAGTGCAAGCTTGTGCTTCCCAGAATTACTAAAAGTACAATAGAAGGCAGAGCCTTACATTATCGAGCCTCTGTGCGGTTGAGGTTGAGAGAGACAACCTGTACTTTGAAGATTAGGCTTAAAAGTTTATAGTTGGGGTGGATCAGATGACCCCGAATCATCCATAAATCATGCTGCTGTAGGCTCAGCTGTTGGGGACTTCCCATGATATAATACCCACTTTTCTGTTCACGATGCATTTATATGAAACTGTTGTACATCATTTCCTTTTCCCTACTCTCTCCCCTTGTCCCCCCTTTTTGTGATCAGATTACTCCCCCCACCCTCTGTTGGAAGTTGTTTAAACTTGTTAAAAGGAAGTTCTTCGTCCACAACTGTTGCCATAATATCACCGTTCAGATTGTCAAATTAAAGGCTCCTTTTCTTTAAACTGTAAAGTGTTTTAAGGTCTATATCTGTGAAGTAGCACTATAAGAATGAAACTGCATTAGATAAATGTGAAGAAAGTTTGTATTAAACTAAGATTGCAATGGAAACCTAACTCATAAAAAGGCAACAGTAGAGGGGACCCCACCAGGACATTGTGGGAGCACTGTAATGTCGTGCATTGATCTTACTTTGAAAAATGAATTCACTCAGTTTTATATTCAAAGTTTAGTGTGTGTGTATGTTTTTAAATGATTTTCAGAAAGGCTGATTGAATTTCTCCTTTTTTTTAAAGGTGCAAGGGTTCCTTTGGCCCCGCTGGGGTCTGGAACATGGAAAGACATTACTGGAGTTGTTGGAGAGCGAGCGCTTCGTGTCCCGCCCCTTGCTTGTTCATGCATTTTCAATCGGTGGATATACCTTCTCTCAGCTCCTTGTGCATGTGTCGAAGGATACAAATAAATATCAGGCATTCACAAAAAGGATCACAGGACAGATTTATGATAGCATGGTGGCAGGATCCCTTGAGCACATGGCTATAGGTGAGTTACCATTAACTCACACTTTATCTAATTCTTGTTTTCCTTTTCTTGCAAAATTGATAATTATTTTCCTTCTTTCTTCTCAGGTTTGGGAAAAACTGTATTTCCAAAATGTGAGTGGTTGGTAAAGCAAACAGCCATGTTTTACTTTGACAAGTTTAAAAGCCACACCGTGGACTACTTTGACATAGGCTTGGATGTGTTTTGGAATACGCCCGTCACCGCTCCTGTGCTGATGTTCTACTGTAACAACGATCCACTGTGTGACCCACAAAATTTGGCGGACTTGGCCAGTTACTGGCGAAGGCGTGGAATGGATGTCACAGAAAAGAAGTGGGACAATTCCATTCACGCGGGCCACCTTAAGAAACACCCAGAAGAATATCTGTCCACACTTTGCATATTCCTCAGTTCCCTTGGTTTTACCCCGTTAAAGGCAAAGTTATGAGGCAAAATCCCAACAATGTAATGCAAGAGGAACTTCACTGTGCATTAACCTCAAATGGTTTAAGCTGTAAAAGTACATCTTGAATTTTTACACTAATTGGCGTGTGTAATGAAGGTACAGTAACAGTTCAGTTTTATTCAGAATGAAGATCGAGTGTACTCAGGGTTTAGTTCATACAGTTTCATAAACACTAAAGCAAAGCATATAAAGAATAAAATGCACTTTGGATCACAATGTTCATGTACGCCAAAGTAATAATAATAATGGATTGGATTTATATAGCGCTTTTCAAGGCACCCAAAGCGCTTTACAATTCCACTATTCATTCATCCACTGGTGGAGGCAAGCTACAGTTGTAGCCACAGCTGCCCTGGGGCAGACTGACAGAAGCGAGGCTGCCATATCGTGGCATCGGCCCCTCTGGCCAACACCAGTAGGCGGTAGGGTAAAGTGTCTTGCCCAAGGACACAACGACCAGGACAGAGTGCCTGGGGATCAAACCGGTGACCTTCCGGTTACAGATACGCTATTTTGCACAACATCTCAACGCCTTTGGAAATGGAGGGTTATACATGGAAGTTCCTAACTGTTCTTTGCCGCTCAAAAATACAATTTCCAAATCAAATGTGAACTTTGCTTGTTGCTTCGTTTTTTAAATATTTGAGACAAAATGTAAACAGTCCAAAGAATGATGTGAACATCGATGACCACAAGCATGCAAGCTCCAAGTGCTTCCATTTATGAAACACGACAGGTCAAGATGTGTGCTTGAGGTTTTACTGTCTAATGTTTGGAGTCATGTGTTTTGGTGCTTGCATTAATGAGTTCAGCTTAAATACAATCACTTGTTGCATATCTTTCAGATTTTGAGCTACTGGAGAGAGGGTGGTGGAAATTTTCTCATGTTAAAGACAAAAGGCTAATCATTAGAGTGATAAAGAGATTAATCATTGTTACACAAAATATTTTAGTAGTTAATTTGGTGGACAGCGCTGAACACACGGAACAAACAAAAGAGGGGAAATCAGCATAGTTTTAAATGAAACTTAATTTAACTTTAAATTAAAACTGGACATTTACTTTTCCTGCAGTAATTTACAAGTAAAGAAACTTGTTCCTTGCTTTAAAAAAACAGTTGATTCATGTGAATGAGCTTCAGGGTTAAACTGCTGGTCCGATTTTCAATTTCCTGCTGATGAGTACACCATGGTCTTTGCACTCAGAAGAAAATGCAATACTACTTGACACTGCTACTGCTGAAGTTTTGCTTTTTACACATTTTTACACAAAGCCTTGAAAGTGCCTTAAAAAGCACCACACTTGTTACTACCACCAAGTCTAGCAAGAACTAAGGTGATCACAGCAACACATTTTCATGAAAGTATATATTTGATTAATTTAGGTCAGTGTCTATGTGTGTGTGTTAAACTACTCTAAGGTGTTTGTATTCTCAATATTCTTGAAGGATGTGACCTACTAAAATTGGGAAAAGAAATCTTATTCAGTCATTTCTGTTAACACTTTTCATGTGAATGACTTGTAAGTTGAAGATGTTTAAGCATAACATGTTATACTTCTAACTCTGTGCAATAAAGATTTGTTTATCTTAACTTGAACCTGTGCAAGTATTTTTTAACTTTTCCTTTTTTGTCCAAGTTGATTACGAAGGGTTAGGAGTTAAAGCACCAATGTGATGAAATGCAATATTATTCTTGTTGTAAAGCACTGTACTCTTGCCTACAAAAATTGTTCTTTATAACTATGTGTACAACATAGTTTCTAACTAACTGGGGGTAAATGAAAAGTATGTATTTATATTAGGAGGTAATTATGCTTGACATTTAACCACCTAACCTCAGAACTGATTAGCACATTTAGACTTCAACCTATTCTACTATTGAAACAGGTGATAAGCAGGTAAAGAAATGAACCTTTGACCAATGCAATTAGTACATCCAGTCATTGTGATGTTTTTCCAGATATGGTTTGATGCAGTCGGTTTCTGTAGGGTAGGTACTGTACTTCTCCAACAATGTCATAGCCCAATGTGATTTTAAAACTGTAACACTAAAGAAGGGAATATCTTTTGGAAGAATGGTATTCAATCCTTTTAGTAGAGTTACAGGTTTTGAGAACTGAAGTGGCCCAATGCCTTAAAACCACACACTGTTTTCTTTACTGTAAATTTTTAGTTTGTACTGCACCTAGAAACTGATTTGAGCTACTGAAGACACCACCTGGTGGCAGAAGCCATGTAACTCACTCCCAGTATTATCATTACAGTTATGCTTTACTATCAGCACAAGACCCTAGAAATGATTAATCCAGTGTAATATAAGCATGACATAAAAACAAAACAATACTGAAATTTACAGAAGGATATAGGTAAATTATTGGTAAATTATATCTGTTAACCACAAGGGCCTCTTGTGGTAAGGAAATAAAGAAAATCAACAAAATATCAGTTGTTTTGGATTTGTGCTGTCATGGTTGGTAACCGCAATAGCTTCTTGTTTCTTGAAGTAATTGAATAACGGATCCTCATATGCTCCCTTTAGGCTTTCTGCAGGAAGCACCACCTCAATAAAACCGCTATTGTGGGAAGTTAAAGCAAATAGTAAGCATATGCAGGAAACTCAGTAATGGTGAAAACAAACATCAGACAGAAATGGTACTTCACAAAAAGAAGCTGAATTTTACTTTTATATCAGCTTATTTAAATTTAGATATTATTCCTACATTGAAACCTCCTGGACGATAGGTGGCGCACGTGACGAATGCCCTTCTGTTCTTTTTCAAAGATGGCTGCTTCCACATGTAAACATGCGACTTAAGCCCGTGGCTAACGACGTCCAAGTTAAACAGTTCTGTGGCGTGTATTCATGCCTCTGATAAGCGTGTTATCGAGAACTTAGACATTAGCTTCCTGTGGTGGATTTGTATTAAACTGCATTTCACTTTTTGAGTTGGTGCAGACGCCGTAAAGTTAGCAGTTAGCCATGGCGGCGCACACCATATTTGTTGGTTCTCTACCAGATTCAGCTTCTAATGAGCGACTCGAAGAAATATTCTCAGAAATTGGTCCGGTAAAGAAATGCTTCGTGGTCAGAGATAAAGGTACTGTCGTGTATTCGAAAGAACCATACAATAATAATGGAAAAAGTCGTACGAAAGTAGAATTAAATTAAAACTGCAAACATAAACATATTTATGTACATAACAGATATTGGTGGTGTCTATTTATTTTTCAACCAGAGACAGAAAAATGTCGAGGGTTTGGTTTTGTCACATATTCCATGGAGGAAGATGCACAACGAGCCTTAAAAGAAATTAAAGAATACGACGGGGAGAAGCTGTCCCTGACAGTCGCCAAGAGTAAAATCAAAGACAAAAACAAGAAAGGTTCGTATGAAGACATGTTCCAAAACGGGCAATTAGGAGAGTCCTGTGTCTCCATGGTAACCTTGCACTTATGTCATTTAGCACCTACAGAGGCAGTCACTGCTCCAAAGGAGAATCAGCAGAAAGGCTCCAAGAAAAAGCTACTGAAAGCAAGACTTATTATAAGGAATCTCAGCTTTAAGGTACAGTATGTTTCATGATTACTAAATGTCACAGCTCAGAGCACACTGACAGAAACCTTTGCTAACACACACCATGTGTTACAGTGCACAGAGGATCATTTGAAAGAAGTATTTGCAAAGTTTGGGACGGTTATTGAGGTCAAAATCCCCCTCAAACCTGGTAAATACATATGTTTCTTAGCAGATGTATACATAAGTGAGCATGTTGAAGTATTGCCAGACTTTGGAGTGGATTGATTCGTTATGAGGTTGATTTTTATGCTTTTTCATAGATGGAAAGATGCGTGGATTTGCATTTGTCCTGTTTAAAAAAGTGCCAGAGGCATCAAAAGCACTTAATGCTATGAACTTGAAGGAGATAAAAGGTAAGTGAGTGAGACCGTTGAGTTGTGTGCTTAAAAAAAAGCTCATTATGACTTGTTACATTGTTACTTTGACATTTCTTTTTTTTTTTAAATGTTGGCATTTAATCTCCAGGCCGACCTGTAGCAATTGACTGGGCTGTACCAAAGGACAAGTTTGTTACTACACAGCAGTCCTCAAATTCAGGTAGTTAAATGACAAAAATACTGTGTGCTCTAGTTCCAGAAGATATAAAGCTTGTTGTCATTAACACAACTTTTTTTTCTTCATAGCCAGTACAAATCCAGAAGAAGCAAATGCTAACACTGACAGTGACACGGACGATGAGGATGTAGAAAAGAAGAAAGCTCCACCTGAGAAGAAAAAGTATGAACCTCAAACATGCATTCCTCTGTTTATATGCCATGAGTGTTAAAAGGTGATTGACTACACTGGTTATTTTTGCTCCACATCTGTCCACAGTGTCAGTTCAGAATCAGCTGTGAAGCATACAGAGGAATTCGAATCAGGTGATGAAGATGGGAGTGAACAAAGCAGTGAAGTGAGTGATTCTGATGATGAAAAAGATGAGGAGGAAGAGGATGATGATGATGGGGAAGAGGAGGATGATGATGAGGATGGAGAAAGCCTTGATTCAGATCATGATGATGGCAGTATGGATGAAGAGGATGAAGAAGATAAATTAGGTATGGATAGTATAACATATTTAATATTTCCTTTCCTTTGAAGTTGTTTTCATACATTCTGTATTTGGCTTTTATCCGTAGCTGAGAAAAAGACCTCGAAAAAACAGCTTCCTTCAGATGTGAAAGAGGGCAGAACGGTTTTCATCAGGTCAGTGATTTTTCCTCCTACTCAGTCCTGAGCCAGGTTTGGTTTATTTTTCAGTTTATTTTACTGAGACCCGTTTCTTTTGTTTTTTTAAACACCTACATTTAAACCAATTTAGGAACCTGTCATTTGACACGGAGGAAGAAGACTTAGAGGAAGTTCTCCTTCAGTTTGGAGAACTTAACTACATAAAGATTGTTCTCCACCCAGATACAGAACATTCAAAAGGTCAGTTGACAGTCCTCGAAAGTCCTTAAGTGAAACACTTGTGTCTAATAGCTGTTTGGAGAGAACCAGTTCACTTACTCTTCTGTGTTATTGTTGGCAGGTTGTGCCTTTGCTCAGTTTAAGACTAAAGAGGCTGCAGATAAATGCATAGCTGCATCACAGGAGGAGGCAGAGGTAATATATAATCAAGTGTAATGTACATGATGTTTGACTTATTGTGCAATCACACGCTGTTTAGATGGAGCCACTTCTTGGGAATTTGGCCTTTTAATGTTGATGTTTTTAA